CTTGACTGCTAACCAGAAGGCTGGCGGTTCAAACCCACCAGCCACTCCTCGGAAGGAAGGTTGGGCAATCTACTTCCGTAGTGATACTGTCTCAGCAACCCAAGGAGGGGTCGCTATGAGTCGGGGTCGACTCGACAGCACATAACAACAACAACAACAAATTATTTGTTTAAAAATGCAGAAAATAAGCTTAAGGTGTTTTGGTCTAAACATGTGACCTATATTTCATAGCTGTCTATATGAAAAATCTCATGTTGGACAAAACTATAGCTGGGTTTCGGTGTCCTAGTTTTGTCCTGTACATCTGCTACTGGTGCGTTGTGTTACATCATTCGTGAACTGTTGTAAAGACTAATCGTACTTCCAAACTAAAAAGAGAAAACCTTTTAACTTAAATGCAAGGTTATACTCTGACTTGATTTCCTAACCTGAGACATGCATTTCAGAAAAAAAAACACATTCACTGTTAATATGAATTTGAGCACATGTAGATTTTGGTAGCGTAGTTTTTACTCCTAATTAGAAGTCCAGATTTTCACTCCTGTGTGAAGCAGTTCTGATGTGCTAGTTGAAATCTGTACTATGTTTGTAAATTTTGATCTTGAATGTGGGAAGGCTAGGCAATTTATCACAAAATTATCATATTTTAAATACACACACACACATATATATAGTAAGGTGGGCTGGGATCACTTTTATTTGGTTGCTTATTTTGACAGTGTAGATAACAAAGTGCTGCTGAAGATTTTGGAGAAATTTCTAGTGAAACTTAAGCTTTTTTTTTTAAAATACCCACCTCTCAACTCAGCCCTTGTAAACGTGTACTTATATAAGAAGCATACTCGTAAAGTTTTAAAATGTAAGACATGTTGAGAAATGTATTGACTTTTTAATATAAGTTTTAATACCATAGGTAGTTGAGTTTTGATGTTTCATGACAGCCTCTCCAATAAAGATCACTGAATTGACATGTTGGTGGGCAGTAAAATTTTTTAAGTAGAATAAATTTCTATGACTATATAAGCAAAATATTTTCATAATTAATCCACATGGTCACAACAGATGGTTAAGTTGAAGAAATGTCCTTGAAGTTATTCGTTTAACGGATGTTCTTAACTATTAGCTTCATGTTTTTACTCACCTAAATTTCCAAATAATTGAATAAAAGTTAACGTATGCTTTCATCCCTTTAATAGGCATAGTCTGTAATTGATGCAAAGTTTACCACAGTAGAGAGATTATTCACTGGTATATTTCTTATGTGTTTCCCTCTGCTACCCATCATCCATCCCTGGTGTTTCAGTCCATTCTGAGCATTGTCCATCCTGATTAGTCTTCCTTTCTCTCTTTTACACAGGGTCCTACAGAATGCACTTTTGCTTTCAGATAGCAGCCTTCACCTCTTCTTGCAGAGCCATCTGAATTCGGAAGACATTGAAGCGTGTGTTTCTGGGCAGACTAAATACTCTGTGGAAGAAGCAATTCACAAGTTTGCTTTGATGAACAGACGTTTCCCTGAAGAAGAGGAAGAAAGAAAAAGAGAAAATTATATAGATTATGATTCAGAAAGGTATTTCCTTGCATTATGATTTAATACGTACGTATTTATATAACACATTGTGCATGCGTATAGATATGTACACACACTTCACTTTTTTGTTGATGTAATACTAAGATAATGAAAAAATTAATTGACTGAGATTTTATTGAGCTGTGACAGCTCATCATAGTAGTCTTCACACACACCTCCACACTGAATTAATGAATGCAGTAGAAATTCAATTATCTGCATTCTGATTATGTGACTTTCATTTAGTCAGACTTGAATTATTCGCGTTTAAATTATCTAGCTAAAAAAATATCCAACTGCACTCCAAATGGCTAATTAAAAGTCCAAATTTCCTGTCTCTCTTTGTGACTGGAGATAATTAAAGTTCTCCTCTGTTACTCAGGCTTTGAGTGTGTTGTGAAAACCAATTTCCTCTTTTTATTATTTTCCCCCTCTCTTCTTTTCCAGTTCATCCTCTGGGCTTGGACACAGTAGTGATGACAGCAGTTCACATGGATGTAAAACAAGCACGGCTCCCCAGGAACCCTGAAAACCAATTCTAATGTTACTGTCTTAGTAATAGCAAACTGTGTCCAGTCACAGAGAAGAAAGCTTGCTAATAATAATACATACTCTTACCTAAAGCTCACTGTCATGATATGAGGTATTTAAATTGTTTAAGATGTTGGGTTGTTTATTAGTGGCATTTTTAAGTTGTCTTATTTGGGTTAAGCTGCTGTAAAAAGCTAAATGAATGCAATACCTACTCTTTACAGGCAAAAAATTATTTTGTAAGCAAGATCTGGCCCTCAAATGAAATGATTTATATGTTTGAAAAAACCTAGTTGGCTTCATTACATTTTAAAGATAAGTTAAAGAAGAAGAAGAAAAAAAGACAATAGCATTTAAAACCAAGATAGAAGGTTCCTCTTTCTGTCAATGGGGTAGTGTTACCATAAGCCCGAATGGTAAGTGTGTATGCTGAGCACTGAAAAGAGGATTGGCGTAGACCACACTGCCTATCTCAGACATGTGGTGGATGTTTTGTGGATACCTCTCCTGCACTGGGAAAACAATTTGCTTTTTGGGTATTTGGTTGAAATATAGTAAAGAGTATTTAACCTTTCCAGTATTTGCTTTTACACTTGATGAAAAATGTATCTTAGGAATAGGGCCGTGTTGAAATCCTGTTTACATCTTAGAGACAAAAGGAAACAGTACTAGTAATTTTACTTATACTTGCAATATATAGAATCAGAGATACATTTTCATCGTCAAAAATGAGCTTATACAAATGGTTTTGAGAAATGAATAATTTGTTTTCATTATCATTAGATAATTAGAATTACAGGTGAATGATTATTTGCTGCTAAATGTGCAATTTCTTGTCACCAGGTAACTCTCAGTGTCAGTCAGTGGTGGTTAATTGTTACTTGAAGACAGAAGAAAGATCTTATAAAAATTAATAAATTTAATTTTACCAGTAACTTTCTGTAATTTAGAAAAGGATGGTAACTTGCTAATTTCAGAATTAATTTCATTTTTTAAAAGTCCTTTTTTTTTTAGGAATCTGAGAATTGGTGTAATTTTAATAAGATATCTTTTTTTTTTTTGTGGCCCAAAGATAAGATGTCTTAGATAAACTACTTTGAACTTCAAATTTCAGATGAGGCAGCATTTTCTTGAGATAATCATCCAAGTTGCTTCCTTGTTGAATAGTATAAAATATCTCCTTGAAACTAACAGGAAGATATTTTTCACATAACTGGGATAACTTGTTGCTTTAATTAAATGTTACCTAGTTTAATTGGAGGGTAGCAGAGTCTGCTGCAAAATATAGCCCTTTCATTTTATTCTAACTAGGAGTTTCAAAGTTACTCTACTATTTAAAAGTCTTTTAAATGCTTGTAAGAACAAGTAGAAAAAAATTAAACTTAGAATAAGAATGATTTTCTTAATTTCTCCTTCTTGTTTTTTTTTGTCTGGTCTAAAACATTATTAAACATTTGTAAATATTTTGATTTGATGTATATTGGATACTGTTACCTGAGACTCATTATTTGAATACAGAGGGGAAAAAAAATAAAAGATTTAGCAATTTCTTAATATCTTGCTAATATGTCAACTTTGCCACCCAGGCTTCAAGAGTGACCTCAAACCATCAGCAATATGTATTTGAATTCACAATATTTCTGTTTTACAGCAGTTTTGAAAAAGCATGTGCTATGCCACCAGTTGTCACTTATAAATGATGTAACATAGTCAATAAAAATTGGTACAAAGTAATGCCCAATACTTTGGCATGTAAACATCATTAAATCATTGTTTTCACATTAAAACATGAGAAAAGCAACAAGTTTATTGGATCACTTATTTTATATAAGAGAATATATTTCTTCTGACTTAGATCTAAATTCAGGGTGTTTTTGTGTATCAGGAATTTTTTTATGAAGAACTTTAGAAAATTTGGCTTACTTTTCACTATAGTTATACAAAATTGTAGCTTTTAGCCTTGGTTTGGTTGTTTTAATTTTCTAAGCACTGGCTTCTTAAAACTGATTTCTGGCCATTAAGATACTGGTTTAGCTGAACTTCAGCTCTCAGTGGTTTTCTTGCTTTTGTTCAAGTCTCTTTTTATTCTGACATATTTTTATAAAGCTTTCTTTAGGAAAAGAAAATAATTACTCTGAATAGATATTATTAAAAAGATTTTTTTAAAAAAATGACAAATATAAAAGTTTTAATCCTGAATACTTTCATGATTTATATACAGGAAAACTGCATTTCCCTGGCTAGTTCTGAAAGGGTAAACTAGTCACCTATAAAGCCAATTTGTGTGTTTTGTTTTAAAATTGGTTTTATATGTAACCCAAAGATGTCAACAATGAAAGTCAACAACCTGTTACTTAGACTTCTTTTAAGGTCCCACTTGGAGGAAAGTGATATAAATTATAGCTCAAATTTCAAATTTTAAAACTACCAAGGAAAACATATAATGGTTTTATCAATAAGCAGTTTTATCTTTTAAGATAAAATATCTTGCAGGAGCTTTTTAAGCCTAGTTCACATTTTATTGAATAATTAAATAAAAACAAGTGATATTCAGTAATAAAGCAAAATAATAAAATTTCCTTTATGGCTATTAAGAATTTAAACAAATTCATTGAGTCTCACTACAATTATCATTACATCTAACAGTAAATTGGACATTGTTTTGAACACAGATTATTTTTTTGTTGTTGCTTAAGGATTCATCATTATTGAACTACTGTGGTACAGATAAGGGTTTTTAATAATTTATTTAATAATTTATTTGAGCTGCAATGGAAGATCTCTTTTCAGGAAAGGCCTTTAAAATTTTAAGGCAAAAATTACAAGGCAAAAAGCTTATTCTTTTTCTAAATAGTCTTTCTCTTAGTATTTAAATTACTTAGTGTTGGTATTCTATGCATACAATGCAGCATCTTTTCAACAGAGGAAATAGTTTATTCCAATACAATTTATGTTTTTGTTTGGAATATAGATAGACCCTTTCTTACATTGTTATATATAAACACATTTTAAAATACAAAATGCTGTCTGAAATTAATCAGTTTGACATTCAAAGCATAGATACAACTTTTTTTGCAAATAAACGTCATAAGAAATTAATACATTTTAATAGAGTGGAGTTCAAAAATTTTAACCCACTGCCATAGAGTCGTTTTAGAAGGATGTAAATAAACAACAATTTCTCTAAAATTTGAAATATTTACAACGGATTTTGGCTCTATTCTTTGCCATATGTTGCCATATGCATCTTACAAACGAGTCACATTTGTCCCTTTAAGTCAGACACAATTGCTCTTCACTCTGGCTGGAAACTTTTCTAGATCATTGTTATGAACAGTGCATTGGACACTAATTTATTTTAGCCGCTCAAACTCTGGTAGTTAATGACCCTTTTCTTTCTCCAAAATTCCAAAGACTTCTTTTCAAAAGATACAGAGGAAAAGAGAAAAAAATTAAGCTACAATTTTCTGCTGAATTTATACTCTGGTCTAGAGATACTATGCAAATGGCTTATGCTAAAGAGGAAAATACCCTTTCTCCCCCGACGAGAAGTGTAGATTCGTCCAAAACCCCACACCGCTTTTCTTTGCTGCTAGAGGCACAGCACGGGCATAACTTGTGGTTGTGTTTTTGCTAGTTTCTTACCTCTGGGCCTTCTTTATAGCTTTGCCCCCCACCCCACTGGCGGTGGCGCTCCCGCGGCTGCACCCTCGGCCGCCTGTTGGCTGCGGAGCCTCTGCGGCTCGCGCGCACTCCCCCGCGCCTCGTCCCGCACACGCGCGCTCCCGCCTCCTCCCGCCCGGGCCTCTGCGGCGGCGGCGACGGCGGCGGCAACTGGGTGGCAGGTAGCGAGCCAGCGGGCCTGGGTCCAGTAACCCATGGCAACCGCCCTGGTAACCCATAGCAACTGCGCTGCAGGGGGAAAAAAAAAAAAAAAAAAGGAGGGAGGTGGCGGGTGGTGTGGTGTTTAGGAACAACAACTACAAAAAGACAGCGATTTACAGCGCAGACCTGCAGCGCCCTCTCTCCAGCCCCACCTGCTTCGAATGTGGGCATCGAAAACCCCCTTTTCCAGCGTTAAAATGACAACTCTTGGCTTGAGGAATATAATAATAATAATGCAGAGAGGCCTTGGATGGTGGGTTTGGTGTGAGAGGGAGCTTTGAATACCGATGACCTTCCGGGCCTTCAGGCTTAATCGCATCCAGTGCCTCACTGGGTTTGTGTGGGCGAGTGGTCCGGGGACCTCCACCGCTTGGGTCGGTTTTCGGGATGGCTGGGTCAGAGTCCGCTGCGCCGGAGCCGGCGGTGGCGGTGTCGTTTCGCAGTCTAGCGCTACACCCGAGTCTTTGTTCTGCAGATGTTAGCGCCACGCTACGACCCCCGCGCCGCGCAGCCTGGCCAGAGAGATGGCAACGACACACTGCCCGGGCCTGGGTGTGGCTGGAACCTCCAGGGTCTCTCCTACGAGTGCCCTGGGGCGTGGCGGGGCTGGGACAAACCTTGTTCGTTCCAAATGTTTTATTTGCATACGCAACGCACACACAAATTAATCTCTTCTAGTCTCCCCAAGACCCTAAAAGCCGTCTGGCGGGCGCTCCTTCTCTTTAACCCGCCCACCTCCCGTCCGGGCAGGGTGGGAACAGTCGCGTCTGGTGGTGGGACTGCGCCAGTGGGGAAGAAGCGCGTGCCTTCAGGTCCAGGAATGGCCCAGAGTCAGAGTTTTAATGGTCGGGGGAGCAGGGAGAGACCAGGTCCCACCGCATAAAGCTGGGGCCCTGGAAGCAGAGCTGTGTTTTTTGCCTGGTGAAAAAGCTTGTACAGCCGGTGCACGGCCGCCGGCAGACAGACGGGGGCGCTGCCGGGCCGGTGCGGCTGCAGCTGCTTGCCAGAGAAGTGTCGCCTTTGCTCTATGTGTCGTGGGGTGGTGTGGTAGAGCCCCCAAGTGGAAGGAACCTGAGCCCTATGTAGATTCCAGTCTGTGCTTTGCAGCATGGC